AAGAAGACAAACAGCCAGCCTGTTGGTGGCATTGGTGCAGCCCTGGTGGGCATGGGCAGAGGCCTTGGGGCGGTTGGCCATTCGAACAACCGCAGGTCCAAGTCGCCTAAGCGAGTGTCGTCGCACTCTAACATGAGCGGCGATTACTCAGATCGAGGTAAGGGAGCAATGTCGTCGGTTGACTTTGGCAAGTCCTGCTCGGATCAAGGTAGTCCTCGCACGGCGTCTGGCTCACCTGGCTCTCTCACATGGAGCCGTGGAAATCTGCCCTTCGTCGTGCCTGACTACTCTCCCGGCGGGACTCCGCTGTCAAGGAAGAGGTCTCAAAATGGTACGGTCGCTAAAATCAAATCAACAGCACACCGGGTACATTCGCGTGAAATAAGCCCCAGTTCCCTCAACCCGCCCCAAATCCCCCCGACTGAACAACCCCAGCCCCCTCGCCGCAAATCACATGGGCCAGACTTTGATTTCCTCGATACGGAAGTCAGCTTTGACAAGCCTCCTGCACAGCGTGATGACGACTCTGGTGACGATTCTGATGATGGCTTGTTTGCCGTTCCTCTGACCAGCCAGCAAAAGAAGCCTACCAAGATTACGCGCATCTTCGATGGCGATGATTCGCCTGATGAGGCCAACGACAAACGACCGACCCTGACGGTGAACACTGCTAAGTCGAAGAAGAAGGTTTCTGTGTCATTCAACTCACCCAAGTCGTTCGGCGGCTCGAGCAAAGAGGGTGAGGAAGACGAGGCTCTTATGAGTGCTCGCAGCGGCAAGAGCTCACGCAGGACGCCCAACACACCTGGTTCAGAGGGATGGGAGTCGGAAGATAGCAAGCTTAGCCGAAGAAAGTCGTTCGTGGAGAAGGACGTCTGGGCCAACCGTCCCACGACCGATGCCCTTATCAACAACCTCGACGACTTCTTCCCGAACTTGGATCTCGACCAGCCGGTGCTCGAAGAAGGAGGAGCGGATGCTTCGCCTCCATCTCCGATTGCTGAGTCCGAGGAGAAGGAAGCTGCACCTGGACCCTCGGCGCTTCCGCAATCTCCTCCGCCAAGCCTGCGCGTGGCTATGGGCCAGGCGAATCGATCATTCTACAACGAGAGCGATACCCTGGGCTCGGATGAGTCTACTCTCAAGGCGCTTGAGCGTCCAGCTTCCGTGGCCTCGGTCGCTCAACGCAGCGTGAGACGTTCGGGAGGCCTAGGCCGTATGAAGTCCATCCGTGAAGTTGCTCGTGGTGCTCACGAGGCCAACAAGCGGTTTACTACCACAACAACGCAACAGGGCCAAAATGGCCAGAACACATCGGCATTGATGAGGAGGAAGAGCACAAAGATGTTCAACGCCAACATTGTGCAGATACGGCCCGATCAAAGAGGCAGCATGGTCATGCCGCAGATCCCCCAGGACACACTGCCCAAGCGCCAGACTACGTTCCGTTGGTTCAAGGGTCAGCTCATCGGCAAGGGCACCTACGGTCGTGTCTACCTCGGTATGAATGCTACGACTGGAGAGTTCTTGGCCGTCAAGGAAGTCGAGGTCAACCCGAAGGCGGCGCAGGGCGACAAGGCGAAGATGCGGGAGTTGGTGGCTGCCCTCGACCAAGAAATCGAGACGATGCAGCATCTCGACCACGTCAACATTGTCCAGTACCTTGGTTGCGAGCGCAAGGAGACGTCTATCAGCATCTTCCTCGAGTATATTTCCGGTGGCAGTATCGGATCCTGTCTGCGGAAGCACGGCAAGTTTGAGGAATCGGTCGTCTCGTCGCTCACCAGGCAGATGCTGTCTGGTCTTGCATACCTCCACAGAGAGGGTATCTTGCATCGCGATCTGAAGGCCGACAACATCTTGTTGGATCTCGATGGCACCTGCAAGATCTCCGACTTTGGTATCTCCAAGAAGACAGACAACATCTACGGCAATGACAAGTCCAACTCGATGCAGGGATCCGTGTTCTGGATGGCGCCTGAGGTCATCCGCTCCGAGGGCAAGGGATACAGCGCCAAGGTCGATATCTGGAGTTTGGGATGTGTCGTGCTGGAGATGTTTGCCGGTCGACGACCCTGGTCCAAGGAGGAAGCTGTTGGCGCCATCTATAAGATTGCCAACGGAGAGACGCCGCCTATTCCGGACGAGGTCCGTGAAACAATCAGTCCGCTGGCGATTGCTTTTATGCTGGACTGTTTCACTGTGTAAGTGCTTTGCGACTTCTACTGTCAGCATGCCAGACTAACAAACGATAGAAACCCGTTAGAGCGACCTACCGCAGACGTGCTGCTCTCGCAGCACCCCTTCTGCGAGCTGGATCCGAACTACAACTTTTTCGATACTGGGCTGTACACCAAGATTCGCGGCAAAGACGTCTAGTTGACGGGGAGAGCGCGAGGGGAACTCAGTACCCGATGGTGAAAACAAGTAAGAGGAGGAGGGGAAACATTGAAAAGAAGGGGAAGACGTGGCTTGGGCCACGAGGTAGCGGTGAAACATTTGTTCTCGTTGTATGCAAAACACTGGACGCTCGTTGTTGCAGCGATGGCGCATGGGAAGGATTTTGGGGATTTTTCGCTGTTTTTGCGGAGCGCTTCTTTGGGCTTTGCTCGGTTGTATTTGGGATGAGGAGGTATGGTGGATGTGCGCCGAGGCAAGGGGAAGGAGGGAGGTATATATCGAGGCGGGTAATATATTGATGGAGTTGGTTGGCGCATATGAGGTGCCTTGTGATGGTGTTGTGAATGTATGTCTCGCGTAAGCCACTTGAGTCTGTCCGCCATATGGACTTCTCTACCAGGCAGGAGTGATAAACAGGTGGAATTGACCAATTCTTTCTGGGGGTTAATCACGAGGACTGTCGGTATTCTTGTTCCGAATGTCTTGGTGGGCGATCTCGTAGGTCCGCATCATGATTCCATGCTCTCTTGTTGCGGGTGAGTGGAGGTTTCGTCTGTAGTGGTTGATCTGCGATTCGGACGGTATACCTTGCGAGACACGATGGACAACGAAAGGGTTGTTGGGATGTCGGGTGTTGACGGGCGGTTTTTGTGATGAGGGCGGTTGGGCGTCTGGTTCATGGGATTATTTAGGTGAGCAGGAACAACTTGACCACGGCCAGCTAATTTGCTGAACATTCTAGGAAGTAGAAGGAGATGGTGTGGGCTTTTATACCGTTTGGAGTGGGCTCCTTGGTTAATCTGATGTTAAAAGGTTCGGAGTTGAGGGCCTGCGGTCATGGGGGTTGGGTTGCCCGGGTGGTAGGGTAAGTTGGTTGTGATTCTTGAGAGGCTTATAGCTACTCTGAGGTAAATATCAACCTTTCCTACCACTTTTCGTTGAATACGCTTAGAGAGGGTGTCAAATAAACGTAGGAAAGCAAGGGCGGGAGGGCGGTGGGTGGGGCTTAACGTGGATATGGAAGTTGTAGATTGGGTTTTTGTTATGGCTATTGCCAAGTTACTTGTCAGGCTTAGGTTGAAGATTACAGTCCACCACGCTAATCATCGATACTTTGATTGTTGTTGGGTCTTCCATTGAGATTTAGGCGTGAATTTGTATGGATGGGTTGGAAGTCATTGGTAATAGATGGGATTTCTCCATGAAAACGGATTGATGATCGGAACGGGCGATTACTTGATGGCATTTACGGACTGGCTATTTAAGGACCTTGCGGGGTTTACATCCTCCAAGCAACACGGAGATGAATAACATGTCTATGGAGAGCTGGTGCAAGGCTTTGCCTTGGATTGAGCCACCGAGCTAGGCTCATGTCAAGGTGCGAGATACCTGAGCGATACGGAATTTCTCCGGATGGTTTAAGGACGTGTATAAGTAGCAGAATACGAAGGGAGAAAGGGAGGAAAGCGACGGGCTAGAATGGGGTTGTTTTCTTGATGTCTGAGAGCTGGTTGGTTCGTACTTATGGACGGAAACTCCACGCTATGGTTCATCTTCACCGATCACACAAACCTTAAATTGCTGTTGAGAAGGCATTGCTCTGAAGGTAAACACCTGTATCATAGATCTCTTTACATATGCGATCTGTCAGGTTTTGTATGTTCTTGGGGAAAGGAGCCAACTGATTGGGATAGAGATCGTGTGAAGTGGTGAGCAGACGTGTACATGTAAAGGTGTCGCGACTCCAATGCCAGCGAAGAATGACTCACCACAGCAATCCACGACAAAGCTTTCCTGCGTGGGTGTTGATAATATAATATGCGATCTCTGATGTTTTCAGCCTGGTCTGCTTGGGCTAGGTTTCTTATGACTTTACTGGAGGGTTTCGGTCGTGTTGTGGGCGCTGTAGTCTCAATACCCTGGATTATGGGGGCAATACCTTGCGGAGAATGAAGGAAGGGGGTTTGAGATGTTGTGCGCTTCGAAGCAGGAGATCCGGTTGCTTTGACACAGATTGCTCCTCATCTTCCCGAGTATCACCCACAGCTCTGGGCCTTGCGGGGAATCCGTGACCACCTGAACCATATTGTCCGTGCTGTTCAAGATACTGGTCAGGGGATATCTTATATCTATCACTGTTGTTTGGGAGCTTCAGTCCGAGATTTACGTATAATAGCTTGCATGATCTCGTGCAGTCCATCCCCTCTTAGGCTTCTTAGTCGGCGACCTCCCTTTCGAAGAGCAGGCCTGCTTAGCAAGAGGCACAATCTCGACAATTATGGCGACGCGGTCTAAGCTGTGTTGAACTGTTTGGAACTGAGCTGCGATCCTTTTGGCCGCTCGTGTGAACTTGTGGGAATGGAATGAATTAATACCGTTTCCGATAGTTTGGGGTCGTTCTCGCGAGACATTTAACTGTCATTGAAGCATCCATGCCAAGCAGAAGCAGTTTGTTTGAGTAAAACTGCAGACATGCTCAGACATGCTCTGAGACCTCTGTTGTAGCTTGCTGGCCGAGCTGCATTTTATGGTATCGCGTTGAATTATATCTCACTCCCACCTGCGACTATTTCACTGAAACCTGGTAAGTTCGCGTGGTTTCAGCTGGCTCGGGAACCATTCGTTGTCCTCTCAAAAGAAACGGCAAACGTGGCTTTGTGCTGCGAACTTAAGTACATGATTGCCTTTTGGTCACGCTTGTGCTCCGAGTTAAACCCATCTTTCCAAGCAGTTCGCCACATGTTTGTGCAAGTTTGATGTGTCGTGGGCGATGGCGAAGGATATGCTTTCACATGAACCACATGAGGCCACTCGCGATGGCCTTGGCCGTGTATCTGGTTATAATGATCCCAAGCCTCCCTACTCCCGACCCATGAATGGTTCAGCGACAAATCCCCCCAGGCTGTCTCCTGGCCCTCGGGGACAGTGTAGTGGGATAGTTCCGCTGGCGCAGGTTGGATGCTGTTGTACTGGGTCAACAACACCCCTCGGTAGAGTTTTCGATCTCGGGCAGTCCATGGGGCTCGGAGGTGCGGGAGCTCTTCTACTGGTGGTTTTAGAGATATCATGTGCGTTCGGAAGGCTGTCCAGAGGTACTCTCGCAGAGGGCTAAATCTTGTGATAGCACCGTCGACGAATCTGGGCGTCATCTGGTTTTCTTCAATTTCCCTGTTCAAGGGAAGGAAAGGTCGGTGCCATGTCTCGCGTAGGAAATGCTCGTTTGTACTGGTGTATACGCAGTTGGTGCCTGGTGTTGCGGGCGTCCATGTTTGCCCCAAGTTAGCCGGGTCGTGTCGCAACTCATCCTGCCCGTCTTTGAGGCGGCTCAGAGATCGTGTGACCGGATGACTCCTCCATGCCTCAAGAATGTTTGTGCCTTTCAGGTTTATTTGTTCAATATCGATTGGCCTGATAAACTCGAGAAAGGCCGGATTAAGTCCCGGGTGTAGGTCCTTAGGATTGCCCTCATCGTCAGTACTAGACCACGCTGCTTCCTATTATTAATCGTCAGCATGTGAAACAAAGATGCGCCGTTATCCGGAGCCTACATCATATCTGAGAAAGGGACAACCTGCGCCAGCCAGCCCTGACAGGGTGTAGTCAAGCAGGTACTTCAACCAATCTCGCAAAGCAGTCTCGCCAATGAATGCTTCCGTACACTCTATACCTGCAATTCCATCGAACTCTTCAATGTTGGAAGCAATCTGAGTGCTGACATCCGGGTGGAAAACCAGACTGACAACAAGCAGAAGCCGGGCTTTCGTCATTCTGCTCGGCGAGTGGGCCGGCAAGTTCCAAAACTCACGGGGCAGCATGTCTTTGCAACGGTACCGGACATATCTAGAGAGTGACAGCTGGTACTCGGCAAAGTGTTGAAAGTGTGGTCGTATCCTCGCGACCATGGGCGGAGAAAAGTACAGTTCCAGGAAGTGAAGCTGGATACGGCGGCGGCGGGTGAGCTCGCCGGTGGCGCCCATTCTCTGCTCCGGGGACTGCTTCTTGTGTAGTTTAGACCGGAGGGCCTTGAGGAATCTGGCAGGCCATGTTCCGTGCTCCCTTCGCCTTTCGTGCTTTTCTTCGGGGGACAGTCGGTTCCACTCGTGGTCGTACATCTTGGCCATTGATTGTTGCTAAGTTGCTGGTAATCGAGCAGGAGTTGAGAAGCGTTATTTCAATGAAAAGCTTTGCTTAGGAGCTTTGCCAGTGTCATTTAGCTACCCGGCAATACCGTAGCACACCCAATACTTCTACAAGGACGACAACAGTAGAGAAAGCAGTAGGGGTAGTGATAATGGAATAATAACGACGACGACGACGACGATAGTCGCTTTGAGAGGAAACACGCGTATCTGGGCACTGCCCGACTAGTTAAACTCTTTTTTGATGATCATCAAGGTAGAAGCAGAATTTAAATGCCGTGCTCGTTTTAGAAAGGCCCCCAGGGTTCATTATGAGGCTTATCTCCAAAACTCTGAAAAGATGCCCATCTATGGAATACCTAAGGAGACTCATTCAACTATATTTTCACGTCATCGCTACCTGCCATCACTCTTGCACAACCCTAGCGACCTTCTCTTGCCATGGACCATTTTGGTGTCTACTGTCTATAAGTCCCCATTGTCTTTGAGTTTCACGATAACCTCAATCAGGTGGAGTCATGACACCGTTCCCAGAAGCTCTCAAGAAACGTAACGTAGTAATGTGGTGCCTCGCAGGAGGAGATCTGGGAAAGAGCTGTCTCGTGAGTTGAGAGCCATTGCCGCCGAGAACCGTCGAACCGAGGACTTCGTGCTATATCTGATCAATTAAGCATATTTATGTCGCAGTGTGGTAAATATCCGGCTGGGAACACCACCTTCCCAAAGGTCCAAATAACCTTCCTGCCGTCGTTGGAATTCTTCCGCCATTCTTGCAGGTCACATGGTAGTCGCGTGCGGGCCCCTCCTCCCCTCCCCTCCTCCGGCAGGCCCGGCACACGCCAGCGGAGGGTTACCTGCCCGATTTGAACCACGAGCGCTCCGCCCGCATATTTGAGGAGGGTGGCATCGGAGGCCCGGTAGCCGAACGGCCTGTCTCTTAATGCGGTATGATGCAGGGCCCTCTGCATTCCGGGCGGTGCTGACTACGAAAAAATGCACCTGCGCAACGGAATGACGGAATCTTTAAACTTCACGGACTGTCTCTTTTTTTTCGCATCTTAATAAGGCAGATCTCGTGGAGACGGGGCGGGACCCTGGAGATGCTCGGCAAATGTTGCTGCTCGGGGCGGTGATGAAAGACAGGAACCCGAAACCTTCTTTTCTTCCTTTTCGTCTCGTGTTTTCCCTTTCTCTCTGCATGCCGCGGAGACCTGTCCAGCACCTGCTTATCGGCTCGTCTTTTTTTCCAGTCAATCGCGCCTCGTGCGGTGCGGGAGCGCTGAAGTCATGTCTTGAGGCTCGAGTGTTTCGGCTTGAAGACGGCGTTTCTGAACAGCGGGCCCCCCCGTGTCACGGCCGACCGGTCGGTCAGCGTGTTTGCTGCCGCTGCTCGTGTCACTGCACTGCACGTCAACAGAGGCTGGCGCTTACAAGACTGCGATCGTCGCACAGGCTTTCTTTCTGGCCCGAGGAGAAGCGATTGACGACCGGTTGTTGTTCGGCTGTCCGCTGTTTGATTGCCAAGGGGCGCAAGGGGGCTCGATGTGGAGAGTCTCAGAGAGAGAGCCTGAGAGGAGACAGAGAGAGGGCTGAATGGGTTGCCGGAAGCAGAAGCTCTGGCAGCTGTTCGTGCCAAGACAATAGCCCGGTTAAAGAGACGGCGGGGATCCGGCTTGGCTTCCTTAGGTGCCTACTTACAACAGTAGTAAAGGAGGTCGGGTGACTTGATGGGCACGCCTCTGTCTCTTTTGTGTACCTACCTAGGTACTAAGAGTATCGGATAGTCGAGACGAATGGTTTGCCCAAAATCATCCTCGGACTCCAGTGTCCTCGTACCCAAAGGTTGGTGCAATCTACTGCGAGGATCATCCATCTTGGGATACGACTTTTGGAGGAGCAGCTGCCCACCGACTCCCTGGAAAAATAAGGTCCATCTGGATCCGTTCCGCCCCGCTGTTAAGGTGCGCCGGTCCCCTGCCATCGGATTGGCTGCGAGCTGGGAGGGCCGGAGTGGCCTTTCATCACTTAAGGTGTGACCCGCCACGGGAGCCAATTGCCATGCGCCATTCTTTGTGTGTTACTCTGTACTGTTCAGTACCTAAGTTGCCCATGCGTGTCTGGGGTAGCAATCGGTTGAGCAAGCAAGGGGCAAAGGACAGAGACATTTTTGCCCAAGAGGAAAAGAAAAAAAAAGTGTCTTGTAATTTCTCTCCCTACCTGGCTTCCACTCTGAGAATGATTTGACTTCAAGACAAGTGGCGGGCGTATCTGCGGCTGAGGGCGAAACTTTGCACCAATGAGAAGTTGACAGAGTTGGCTAGACGGGTTGAAACGTCTTTGATAGAGAGGATCTTCAGACATCCATACGGGCAATCTCGAATCCGTGACAGCTATCGTTAAGGAGAACCCGGTCGTACAAAGGTTGGATACATACAGGGCGGATACCAGTGTACGGGTGCGGGCCACTGCAAAGCGAGGGGACCCAGATAAATCACTTGAAAAGACGTCTTGAACCCCTGACCTGCTGGAGCCAGATGCTTCAATCCGACACGGGGAAAGCTCAGATCTCGCGTCTTGGCGTCTGTAAACTGTCGTGCCTTTTTTTGCCTCTCCCGGTCCGTCTGCTCTTCCCTCGCCTCATGTGCGCTGACTGCTGCTCTCAGGCAGCTTCCACCGTCCACGGCGCACAGGTGGCGGGCGGCCTGTTCGCCCTAAGCCACCCCCCCAAGTAACTAATCACCCCCACTAGCTGATTACCCTAAAATAAACGATTTTCAGCCACTTTAGCATAACCATAAATTAATTAATTTACTATATCTCTATAAAAGTTAAAATTAGATATATATTAACGTATATAATACTTTAGCTACTAACTTAGTACTCTAATACTTCTTTTTAAGTACTTCTTAGACTTTTTAAACTTCTTTTTATATTTTTAATACCTCTTCTTTTATATCTATAATATTATAGATAACTATAAACCTCTAATTCTTATTAACCTTTATTATAATATATTTTATTAACTTAGTTTATTTAATTTAAAGCTTTAAAGTAAAGATCTCTTTATTATTATATACTTTAGTTATATTAATAAAGTTAAGGTACTTCTTAATCTTATTAAATACTAACTTATATATAATATTATTAAAACTAATATTATCTACCTCTAAGCTCTATAGGAACTTATACTTCTCTAAGTCTCCTAACTTTATAGAAGTAACTATAGTAAAATAATAAAGTAGAGGAGAAGTTTTAAGTCTAGCTTTATAAAAAAAAGAAGTTTATAAGATATCTATAGCTTTTAATTTATTAAAGAAGAAGTTATTAAAGTACTTCTATTAGTTAATAAGCTATATCCTTATTACTTTAAAGCTTACTTTAATAATTAATAGCTAAAAAGCTATTTAATAAGTATAAAAGTAGTAATATAGAAAGTTCTATTTTTTAATAAGTATAAAGTTAAGTAATATATTAACCTCTTTAAACCTCTATTTATAAGCTTTCTTAAGGAGTAAGAATATAATAATATCTAATAACTAAGTAATATAGCTAGAATAAAGTAATAAGTAGATTAAATAAATACCCTTAATATAGTATTTATATATAAATTTATCTATAATATAACTTCTATAGCTATCTATAATTAAAAGTCTCTTAGATTAAAACTTCTTAGTATTTAATATAATACTTAGGATAAATACTTACTCTAGCTATATTATACTTATTAAATTAGATATAAAAGTACTTATAGTTAATATAAACTACTATATAGTAAAATTATTAATATTCTTAGAGAACTATTACTATTATATAGTTTTATTTTTAAAGATAATAAGTAGTTAGAAGTATTTACTATTAATTAAGATATATTTAACTATAGAAATCTAAGTATATAATTTTAAACTTTAGATAAAGATTAAAAGCTTATTAGAATACTTTAATACTAATCTATTATATTAAACTCCCTCTATAATATTAGTTTTATTTATATTCTAATAGAGACTTATAGGAATAGCTTTAATAGCTAGTAAGTTTATAATATTAAATAGATTATTAATAATATTAGTAGTAATACTCTTTATATATTTATAATTAATTTTTTATAACTTTAGGGTCTTTATAAATAAGTTATAGTATAAAAAGCCCTCTATCTACTTCTTACTTAAGAGTTAATAATCGCTAGAAGTATTAAAGATCTTCTAAACTATCTTTTTAAGCTATATATAGGTTAGTATAAAGCTTAACTAACTTTATATAAAGATCTAACTAGCTAAATAAACTTCTTAAATAGGAGAGAACCTCTACTACTTAGTATAAGCTTCCTATTAGTTTATAGAGCTTTTAAAGTAGTTATATAAGGTTATATAGGGTATACTATAGCGTTTAGTAGTAGTATTAATACTCTAACTACCTAAAACTTCAGTAATAGCGTTTTAAAGGTCCTAGGGGGTATAAAAAAGTATTCTAAATTAATTAGTTATTTTTTTAGAATATTACTAATTTTTTTTTAGTTATAATATTAATAATTATATTAATTAAGTAGTAGTATTAAGTAGTGAAAAAATAGCTTGATTAGGCTAGTTAGGAAGTGCGGGGTATCGGTTACTTAGGGGGGTGGCTTACTGCCTATGTACATAACTGCGCAGTGCTGGTCTGATGTCGAAATACTTTCTGTGCCACGTTGTCGGCGCTGTTGCACGTTGTATCTGCTCATGCGCGTGCCATCCACACACCCACATCCCACCTCCATATTACCTAAAGGCTTAGGTTGCCCTGCTCTGTATCCGTAGCGCGTTCCCCTCAGAGGCGCTGCACTAGAACACTTAAGTTCATCTTAGCCATCCTGGCAGCTCCGTGTGCCCCCCTAAATGGAGCCGAAAGCCAATCTGTACATGCCACCTACCTGCTTGCTGACCTACCTAGGCACCTTACCTCAACTGTCGTGCATCCCATCCAATTCTCTACGTATCTTTTCTTCCTGCTCCTCGTCTTGCCTTGCCTCAATCACACTCCAATTACTCTCCTTCCTTCCCTTCTTCCATTCCTTACACTGAATCACTCTTCCCGCCTGCTCAAGGGCCCTTTCGAATCCGACCATCACCCAAATACCGAGAAATGACACTGCGTTAACTCACTGCCATCCTTGCCGCTCTTCTTTCCCTGGACCCCTGGGTCCTCGATCGACGGTCGAACCGCTACCTGCAGTGTAGCACGCGACCGATCTTACACCCAACTCCCCCAAGTTTGCGCCCCAGAGACTCGCCCCGGCGAGCAAGCAAGCAATCATGATGCCCCGCAGGAGGAGCCGTTATGTGCTCTTGGTGGCCTTTGTCATGGCTTTCATGCTATACCAGGTCTTCAAAAACCCTGAATGGGATGCGACAGGCTATGCCGGCAGCATCAAGCCCAATGAACCTGCCAAGGGCAAGACCGAGCCCGCGAAACAGCCTCCCGTCAACGAACCCCCCGCCAACAAGCCTCTGAACAACAACCCGCCCCCGGACAGCGAACACCCTCACGATCAGGAGGAGGATGAGCCCGAGCAGAACCCCATGCGGCAGACGGCCAAGCAGACCGTCGTCAAGATCCCCCAGCTCAAGACCGAGACCCCCAAGAAGGGCATTCCCACAAAGTCCGCAAACACGCCCACGATGCCCGTCTACAACCCCGACAACGAGCCCGAGGTCACGAAAGCCGCCAAGATCCCCGTCGAGGACGAGTTCCACGCCAAGAAGCCTCCCGGCCGACCCAACGCCGACAACGCCGAGTCCAGCGCCTCCACGACGACCTCCCAGATCCATTGGCATAAGGTCAAGGAGCACTTTCCCGTTCCTACCGACAAGATCATTCCCCTTCCGACCGGCAAGCCCAAGGACATCCCCAGGATCCAGTACAAGTTCGAGCCCGAGACGACCGCCGTCAAGGAGAAGCGCGAGAGACGCCTGGCGCAGATCAAGGCTGAGATGGTTCGTTCTTGGGGCGGTTACCGCAAGTACGCCTGGATGCACGACGAGCTCTCCCCCGTCAGCGCTCGCTACCGTGACCCCTTCTGTGGCTGGGCTGCTACGCTTGTGGACGGTCTCGATACCCTCTGGATTATGGGCATGAAGGAGGAGTTCGACGAGGCTGCCAAGGCCGTCAAGGATATTGACTTCACCTTCAGCCCCACGCGCCGCGATATTCCCGTTTTCGAAACCATTATAAGATACCTGGGCGGGTTGCTTGCGGCGTACGACGTGAGCGGAGGAAAGAAGGGTGGTTACGACGTTTTGCTGGACAAGGCCGTTGAGCTGGCCGAGATCCTGATGGGCGTCTTCGATACCCCCAACCGCATGCCCATTCTGTATTACAACTGGCAGCCCCAGTACGCTTCCCAGCCGCACCGCGCTGGCAACGTCGGCGTCGCTGAGCTGGGTTCCATGACTATGGAGTTCACGCGCCTCGCTCAGTTGACCGGAGAGAACAAGTACTACGATGCGATTGCGCGCATCACCGACGCTTTCGAGGATCTCCAGAACCGCGGTACCACCTTGAACGGCATCTTCCCCGAGCAACTCGACGCTTCAGGTTGCAACAGGACCGCGGAGGCCATTCGCTACCAGGAGGAGCAGGCTGCGGCTGCGGCTGCCAGCGCCGCGGCCGTCGCTGCGCACATGAAAGAGCCCGAAGGCCACAAGCCTGCCGTGGACGAGAAGCGCGACGAGCCCGTGGCACCTCGTGAGACAGGCCTCTCAAAGCGGGCTGTTGGGGTTACCGAGGATGGTGAGTCTGTGGTGAAGAACGCCAATGTCGACAAGGAGGAGGCTTTCCCGAAGCCAATCGTGAACGAGCAGCCTTTGTATCCCGGGAACAGCGGTCGTAGACCATCTCCCACATCTCCCGAGGAGAAGTCCGAATGGGAGTGCATTCCTCAGGGACTTGCTCCTGGTGGCTGGGGATACGAGCAGTACAGCATGGGTGGAAGCCAGGATTCGACCTATGAATACTTCCCTAAAGTAAGTCTTTTTCATAATAGCACTTCCCCAGAGTTTGAGCTAATTTCGTAGGAATATCTCATGCTTGGCGGCCTTGAGCCCAAGTACAAGACCATGCACGAGAAGACAGTTGCAGCTGTCAAAAAGTGGCTGCTCTACAGGCCCATGGTCCCCAAGGAGAGAGACATTCTCTTCTCCGCGAAGGTCTCCACGGCTGGTGATCCCGAGTACGATGCCCGAGTCGAGTATGAGGTCACTCACCTTACCTGCTTCATTGGTGGCATGTTTGGTTTGGGAAGCAAGATCTTTGACAGACCCGAGGACCTGGAAATCGCCAAGAAGCTGACTGATGGCTGCGTCTGGGCGTACGAATCCATGCCTTCCGGTATCATGCCCGAGGGCGCTTCCGTCGTCCCTTGCGCGTCTCTCGAGAGCTGCCCCTGGAACGAGACTCTCTGGTGGGAGCACCTTGACCCCTCCGCCGCCTGGCGCGACGCGCAGGTGAAGGAATGGGAGGAGCGACAGAAGGAGAAGAAGAACGAGGAGCTTAGGAGAGCAGCCGCGGTCGACAGACTCTCTGTTGACAAGGCCATGCCCCCGCCTGCGGAGGAGAAGAAGGTCGATCCCCTCGCTGATGTCAAGGTCCCCAAGGACCAACCGAAGAAGGTCAACGATGTCAAGAAGACCGAGTGGCCTGCCCCCGAGCCCGGCCTCAACAAGTCGCCGTCCAACGTGGATGAGCACCTCTTGAAGAAGAGAGCTCCCCCCGCCTCAGAGGACCCCCGCAAGGGCACGTCCGAAGAGAAGGCCAGCAACTCGCTCAAGAACAAGCTCAACATCAACAGCGACGCGTCGGATTCGGGCACCGTCTCGAACGATGCTCCCGTTAGCGGAGGCATTGTCGGTACGATTCCCGTGTACGAGGAGGAAATCCCCGACCCCAAGCCCAAGTCCCACAAGGAATACGTCAAGATCATGCTCGACGAGGAGAAGATCCCGCCTGGCTTCGTCAACATCAACTCTAGACGCTACATCCTCCGGTAAGTCCTCCATAAACCGTGTTCACTCTCTCATTGCTCTGCTTACTCACACCTCACCCAGACCCGAAGCCATCGAATCGGTGTGGTACATGTACCGCATCACCGGCGACCCGATCTGGCAGGAGAAGGGCTGGAACATGTGGCAGGCCATCATCAAGGCGACGCGCACCGAGCACGGCGCCAGCGCGGTCGACAACATCCTCTCCAGCTCCCCGGAGCCCGTCGACGAGATGGAGAGCTTCTGGGTCGCCGAGACGCTAAAGTACTTTTACCTGCTGTACTCGGAGCCCGACCTCATCAGCCTGGACGACTACGTCCTCAACACGGAGGCGCATCCGTTCAAGAGGCCTGTGTAGATGTCATGTTGGTGCATTAGCAAGCGTTGCTGCGTTGCGTGCATGGCGGAGCGAGAAGGAGATGATCACGTTTAAAAACAGAGAGAGAGAGATGGTAGAGGGAGAAGAGAGAAGAAAGAGGGGGGAAGAGGAACAGTCAAGCATGAGATATCACGGCGGGACAAGGCAATTGGGTAAACATGGCGTTTTGGGCGTGCTAATTGCGGGGTTTTTTGTTGTATTGGTCGATTGACTCTTTTCTTGTATAAAGTGCAAAAACAAAAGCTACCTAATTGGCTTCATTGTGACTTTCCAAGTGATGTTTCCCTGTCCACTCTCCAAATAGTCAAAAAGTCGATCGTTATCCGAGGGATAGGTTATCGTGGAATCACCGCAAGCAGAATGAGACGAGGTGTGTGTGTTTTGGCATGTTCAATTTCATTTCCTCTCATCTCATCTTCATCTTTGGTTCGAGGCCATGACACTCTTATCCCGTAATCATGGTCGACATACTCCTACACACATTTCCCATCCCGTTGATCCGTCCAAGTAAAAAAAGTTTGTTTCCCTTCATTTCCCTCATGCCGTTCTCTTTTCGGTCTTCTTTTTTTCTCGTGCTGCACATACCACAATCCTCTCTCGTCGACTCTTCCCGTTCATTGCCCTTGGGTGCTGACCCAAGAGTTCAAGTAACCGTGTGCCACGGCCTCGGTGTCGTCGTCGTCGTAAGAGTTGAGGGTCATGAGCGAGAAGTGGCTAAAAAGACCCGCGCGGCGTTGCTGATATCGTCTATGCGTTTCGTGCTCTCTCTTCTCTTTCTTTGCTCATCCGCCGCTTGCGAGGAAGCGTTCAACATTAAAAACATGGGGGGTCCCATGGAAACTTCGACGTGTTTCCTGGTGTCGTGGGCCCCCTGCCGGCCCAAAAAAATTGAAATGCCAAAACAGCAAATAGAGTATAAAAACAAAAACACAATTCGAAACGAAAACGCCAATGTCCCTGATGCTTGGTGTGTTTTTTTGTGCTGGACGATGATGAATGTGCTGATGGGTCTCGGTGAGGCGTAAAATCGCGCTCTCCCCATGTACAAAGCGTTCCTTGCGGGCTTCGGGCCCCATCTTCTACACATCTTGTCGTCGTCGTCAAATCTTCTTCATCTATTCATTTCGATTGGCGCGACTAGCCGACCATTTGGCTAAGGACGCGGATACTCAGGATCATGACTAGCAGACCGATGGTGACGATGATGAGTAGTGTGAAGCTGAACCAACCGAGGACCATGGCGGACGATCCGACACCGGATTTGACGGCTCCGTTGCCAAAGTCTTGAGCGATGATGGAAGCTGCTACGGAGGCGGTGTGCTGCCATAATACCGACACCAGCACGAAGATGGAGGCGATGAAGATGATGGCGAGGGAGATCTGGGAGACGGGTCGCGAGGGAAAGGGCTTCACTTCGCGGTCGGAGCCCTCAGAGTCCTCCTCCTCGTGCCATCCGGGGAAGGTAGCCAGAAGCAGGAAGCAGACGAAGGCAAAGATAATGGCGATGATGCTGGTGGTTGTCAGTGGGCGGTTTTAGAGGTGGTTAGCAGAGGCGACTCACATGAGGTAGGGGAAAACAATCATGTCCTTGAACTGGGCGGCGAGCCAGATCAGGTTGAGAGGATCCTGGTCGACGGAGACTTCATTGGCCAGAGCAGTGGCATTGTTGCTGCAAAGCCAACTGCCACCGTCGGGGCTGATGCAGATACCAAAGTAGCCGACACGAGCGGCGAGACGGGCGTCGCCAGCGATGTTCTCGATGGCGGTGTGAACATTGTAGTCTACTTGCGCCGTGTCGGGGACGGCAGTGTAACTGTCATAGTACAGGGACAGGAGGAAGATATCGGGGATCAAAGGTGATGACGATGAGCAGCCTGCCAGTAATAGAGCTGCCGGGTGCGTTAGTGATGGTTCTTGGAGATGGCGACCGATGGAGCTTACAAAGAAGGATGATGGCAATTGCAATCAAGATCATCAAGACATGGTGGTATCCTAGGAACGGCACAAACCCTGTGGAAGTGTTAGCTCAAGCTGCCGCTTTTCCAGAATGGAGAGGGGTCGACTCACGATACCAGCCAACCTGGAATTTCGCCATGTTGACTATGTGTTCCTACTCCTCCACTCTAACGAGAGGTCTCAAGCAACCCTCGCCCGTCCTCCGTGATAGCGGAGCGACGGTCGGGTTCTGGTCCAGGCACCTTCAGCGTTGGCACGCTGCTTGTCTTTCCTTGTCGTCTGGGGACGGACTAATCGCGCGGGGAGTCGACTCGTGGTGCGAGGAATGCGAGGTCTCGGGAGTGAATGGCGTTGATGCCTCGCGAAGAGTGTGGAATGTAGAGCTGGGTTGAAGAAGAACCGAACTGCTGGAGAACACCGCGAGGAATGCGGGACGGTGTTGGACCTGCGAGGTAGGCGATGGAGACTCTTTCCTGTATGTCAGACACTGAACAAACTACCACTTTTTGGATGCTGTCTCTTTTGGAATTGACGGTGAACGAAGGACGCAAAGTGTTTGAGTGAGTGTAGTGTAGAGTGGATGTGACGGGTAAGGTCTTCAAAGGTGGGCGCGGGAAGAGGTAGGTAGGTAGATCTTCTCGTGGATATTGGGATGGCTGGGGAGCTCAAGGGGAGGGAAGGGTGGACTTAGTTTTGTCTCTGGATCAGGTTCCCGCACAAAAAAAGGTGTGTCCAGAGTTTGAAGGCGGGATGTGCCCGCAGATTCGGGATGGACGGGAGGTTTGTACGTAGAGGCGGTTGCAGAGGTGAATATTCAGATGGCTGGGTGATGGGCAAGAGAGAAAAAGGGTGATGGATGGATCTTGATGGATGGGAAAAAGGCTCCAGGATGAGGTGCAATTGGTCCTGCCATCCCACTTAGGACCCAAACGCAGCCAAGATGGACAGGAAGTGCGGTCGTTGCAAGGCGTTACGTAGCTACGCCAACCTCCTCTATTTACTCGTGGCGCAAGGAGAGCGTTGTCCGGGCGATTAGCAGCGTTGCAGCGGTTCCTGGGCAGCCCCACTTTGATACTGTTCTGGCTCCCAGGTTCGTCCGGGGGTGGCCTTCCAGGCGCTGGGTACGTACCTTTCCCTAGCTGCTGTGGCTGCTGCGTTGCCCGACTTGGAAGGCGGGGGCCCACTCTAGCCTGTCGCCAACTGCAAAAAAAGCCCGGTGGCTGGGTGACGTCTTTCCCTTCTTCCAGGGGTCCCCCCCATCCCGCGCCAGGTGTGCCCATCGTGTCCAGGCGCTCACCCCCCGTCAAATCTAAGTCTGCATCTTAGCGCACCTGTTGTTCCTGGCATCGAATTCTAGCCCAAGCTCTTTTCGGGCGCAATTCAGGTCCTCTTCTCTTCTCTCTTGCATTCAGCTCCTCTTCAACGACGCGGGTAACGACACCACCACGGGATTGTGGCCGCCAACCGCCTCGCATCGTGCAGCTTTCCCTGTTTGTCCGTCGCTTGCTTCAGCCTGCCGCTCACCTAACCCAATCCAAACATGCACACGACTCGACGCGGGAACAAGGCCTCGGGGGTTCCTGCATTTGAAGATGACACCCGGAGCATGGGTCCAGCTGTTGCCTTGCTTTTCTCCCTCTTCGACTCGCTGTCGTCGATTCTTGGTGATGCGTTGTTTCCGGCATCCCAAGCCCGTCCGTCTTTGCCCACCCCTTGTTGGCACGGCGACTGCATCTGAATCTCGGATCCCATAACCCAACACGACGGGCCAAGAATCCTCTCGTGGGACCTTACAGACTCGGCGCACCCTGCCACAGATACGGTCAGCTACTTTATCTTCTACAGCTTGCCACTTCTGGACGATATACGCAGTCGACTTGCTCCCCTGCTGGGCGGATCCCTCTCGCAGGAACCCCAGACGGCTCCGTGCTTTTTTACCCATCGGCGAGACCCATCGGTTTCCTATCAACTCCACCACACAAAGTCAGACAGCCGTTGCCCAACACACCGCTTGCGTCTCTGATGGCGGTCAACGATCTCCATTCTCACGCATCGTTCGAAGATGCCCGTTGACAAAAATATCTTCCATCCCATCGACATCTGTCACTTCAGCTGACTGCTGTCTCTCGATCCCGCATGGACGGATGTTGGTGGGCGCTAACGCTGTCTTGCCTCCACTGGCTTAAAATGCCCGGCTCGCCGGCACCCGATATGTGTAGATCTCGGGAGTCCATGTGTTCACCCTCCAGCCATCCCCCGTAGCATCACTATCTTTAGGCGTCCTTGACAGCATCAAAGGGCGGCCATTACCATCTGTTCGCACAGAACCAAGCCACAAGCCATTGACGCAATCTGCCTGCGTCTCTCAGCTTCCTTCACGGATACACAGACAGTACACTAGCCAGCTGTTCAGTCTGTTCTGGCCATCAGGAGCAACAACAACTTCATGGTGACTCACTATCAGCCCGTGTAAACCCTCAGCCACATCTCATCAAGCGCTACCAAGCCTCCTTATGAGATTTTGCGACTGACTGTTGCTGGGCTGGACGGATGTTGGAGGTGCCGAAGCGCTGCGTCTGTTGACAATAATATGTGGCTGGTGACTAACTTCGGTCTGTGCACTTTGTTGAGCTGTCTCTTGACCCAGGATCTATCGAAAGTCTGGCATCTGCTTCGGCTTCCATTCAGCCGACAAGATTGCGGACATCGTCTTCGATGCGAAAGTGAAAGTTGGATCTGCAATGCAGACCATTCCCCCAGCAGCTCCAGTGTCGTCTTCACGATCCGCGGGTCGATCGCCAGTAGTCTCCGCAGTGGCCTCGGCCAGCCTTGTCCAACCCACTCTAATCAGAGGGTTATTTCCTTTCCAATGGCATACAGGAGCGAGAGTATACGACGAAATTTTTGTCGGTCGTCCGGCATGGTCCTGGAACTCTGACGGAGAGAATGCAGGGCGCCGGTGACGTTTTTTCACTATTGTCGTTATCGTCGTCGTCGTCTTCGTCGTCGTCGTCTTCGTCGTCGTCGTCACTATCGCTCGTGATGTAAGTAGTTAAATACGTAGGAAATACAGTCACGCAGACACAGGGAAATTAGACCGTCTCGGGCATAGCTCCCTGGAAAACAAGGTCATCGAGCTCTGTGCCAGCTGCTATAGCTCGGTCGGTTCCGGTGTCTCACATCTCCACACACCCGGTCCGAACTGTGGGTTTACCGGTCCCGGCCTGCTTCAATATCACATGCCCGCTCCGTCCCGTGTTGGCGTCAATTGTGGGGCAGTCTTTGCGCTCGAGGTCAGCGCAGCGCAGCGCAGCAGTCCTCATCTACCAAGGATCTACGTCCAGCTCTCATTTTCCAGTCGGATCCAGTGGTCAAAAGGTTTACCGTTGGTCTTCCTTCTGGGGCTATCTGTCCTTCCTGGTGACATTGTTAGACACACCAGTGTCGAATGCAACCCAAGAGGTTTAATTAGCTTGAGGTTTGTCAAGCCTTTGTCCTCTTAATTTCTTCAAGCCTTCAAATAGTATTTTCAAAGGTTCCTCTCCTTGGTATTGATCCCATATTGAAGAGTTCATCCCATCACTATTCAACAAGGTGTTTGGAAAACATCGGCTAACTACATAAATAACGTACATAAGCACACAGCTCGACAAATGCATATAACCCCACTACAGCGGAGCTCAAGCTCCACGTCATTGTTCAGACCATACGTTGCGATCTCAATATCCAGACTTGCCGTGTCGCAACACCACACCGGACCAGCCCGCTATGACAACTATATCCGATGCGCGCGCCCAGACGGGCGGCGCTCTAGACATTCGAGTCGAAGATTTCCTCGACGACAAGCTACAATCCACCACCGACCTCGAGAACCTCGACTCCCTGATCGCCAATGTCGAAGTCCAGCGTAGCCAGCTCCAGTCCCAGCTCGATAACGCCGTCAAACAGCTCGACGAAGCCCGCCGAACCGCTGGCGACCGCCAGTCCTCGCTCGCTCAGCGTATACAAGACTTCCAGGAACTGCAGCACAGCATCGACGTCCGTGTCAAGATCGCCGCAGCGTCTGATGCGCCGAACCAGGCCATTGCCAGGCTGCAAAGGCCTATGAAGAAGCTGCAGACGATTGAGCTGGCGCAGAAATACCTGGTACTCCTGCAGGACGTGGACAGGCTGAGGGCTGAAGCCCGGTCCCATCTCCCCGAAAGCCCTAAGGCCGCGCTGGAGCCGTACTCGAAGCTGAAGCAGCTGTCTAGGCGGTTGGAGGAGCTCTCCGGGCCGGCGGACGACGCGGCTGTTCATCTAGTCAACCATGTTCGCAACGTCGCTGATAAGTTGTGGGACGAGATGAAGAAGATTATGTCTGGCGAGCTAGAGGCTATACTGAGCAAGAGGTCGTGGCCCTTGGTTGATCCGACATCTGAAATGGACGAGGAGTGGCTGGCATGCTTCGAGAAGCTGATCGACCTGCAAATTCCCGAGGTCACACTGAACAAGTCGATCGTCAGCCTTCTTCCGTTTGACGTCATGAGCAAGATCTTTGTATCAGAGTTCCGCTTCCACTTCATGAGCGAAAAACCAACAAGCAAACCTGACGCGATAGGGACACACTGCTTCCCTTGGTTTCTGGCGACCATTGAAAAGTGGGAAGACTTCTTCAGAGATAACCTCGGCTTCACTCTGGCTGCCAAACTCCGCGATACACCTGCTGGAAACAGCTTGGTGTACGTCGACCCAGTTTGCGCCTTCATCACGAGCATGCTCCCTGTCATGAGGGAAAAGGTCAAGGCCGCGACCGCAGATGCTGCTAATAACCCGACATTCCTGAGCAGCCTCATGGGCCAGCTTATGACATTTGATGAGAACATCCGCTCTAAGTTCAACTACGACGGCGGAAATGCGGAACAAGGCTGGCCTGGTCTTGCGTCCGAGGTTCTGGAGGAGTGGTTCGAGCCCTGGTTCCAGGCGGAGAAGGCGTTCGCCATGGAACGCTTCCAGGCCATCATGGCAACACCAGACGCGCGCAACATCGATTACGACTATACTGGCACCGGAAAGACGAAGCCCACCTTTGGCGCTGTGCGGGTTACTGACCTGTTGAGATCGATCACGACCCAGTACGAGAGAGTCCGGACGTTTAAG